TAGAATATTTTTGACTCTTTTTAAAAGATTTTTGCTACACCAAAATGAATAGAATATAATTACGTTATTTTCCTACAGAAAAATACTAAAACAATATACTGCTTAGTGTGATGAGAAAAAGACATTGTAGGTTGATAACGGCATATAAATAGACATGCATCGATATTTTTAAAATGTCGATACGTCGTCGTCGCACTTACTATAACCCGGCAATCTCGTGCGCGACCGTCCCGCGGGGTGACAGACAGTGGCGGGGGCGAGGTAGCGCGTCATTCTAGCACACGGCTACACACCGCTACACCACCCGCTACCCGCTGACATCGTGAGTACCTCGTCCCCGCCACCGTCTGTCACCCCGCAGGACGGTCGCGCACGACGTTGACGGACTCTAATCTTGTCGTTTGACACTTACACGCATAACTTACATACCATTTCTCACAAGTCAATTGTAGTTTATTTGGTTGTTTTACTTTTGTTTAGTATTAAACTCTCATATATGTTTATTTTAATTTTATATAGTGTTACTCCATTATGCATGATATGATGCCTTAAAATGTTGTGCAATTATCTCAATATAATGGATGCATGCTTTAGATTTTAGTAAATAATGTCACAACTACTGACTGTTGAATAACTAAATAATTAAATAAATGCTCCCGCCTTGCGTAAATGTGTATTGAAGTACATTTATTCAAATTATTATTAATAATTTATGTATTTATGACTAGTATTACACCTGCTATGTAAGCGAAGATTTTTTTCTATTGTTTACCAATACATGCCAAGCAAATACCCTTCCTTCCTTCACCCATTTAGAGAGTCGGCTAACACTTTCTACAGCAAAATAGGGTTGCTTATAAGTAATGATAATGATGAATAATATTTTCGAATATATGACACACAACGCCATCTAGTTTCAAACAAAACATTTACAATATTTTAGTACTTAACCTCGAAACATTCAAAATCCAAAATCTTTTTTCCTAGACTTCTTTCGCTAGTAATTTTTTATGAGAATTTTCAAGAATAAATTCTCAAGGGTTATAGACATTTTTGATATTTAAACGCTGTCAATTCACTTCAAATAAAATTATGTATGGGGACCTGCCATTGTCCTTTGTGTCACCGATCCTTTTCTTATACTTAATTTCTCATTCTTACCTAGGAAAAAATGGCAGATATCAGAACAAAATGTAAATGAGTACATAAGTGTATACAAGAGACCTAAGGAGTTACAGCCAACAACGTGTAACACGATTATTTAAACACATTCACTCATAATGCAATAACTTTTTTACTTAGTTCCTTGTTCAGCAGTTTTGATGGTCGATCATTACCTGCTGTTGCGAAACACAAATTGCCTGACCTGAATTAAGATTACAGAAACAAGGTGTAATTAAGGGGTAGTAGGTACCAAGGTAGGCACACAAGATTCATCGCTTGACCCCATTAACATAATAATATTGAGTAATAAAATTATGAAATTCCAAATCCATATAAACGTTCAATGTTTTAAGATGTATTTTCACGTAGCCATAAAATAGTTAAGACGCACCCGAGAGGATCCTATCTGTGTCTAACTACAATGTCCTTAGACCCCATTAGTACAGGGCTAAAGAAATAAATTATTACGTGCACATACTAACCCACTTGTAAGCGGTAGAAGCAGTATCACATTTTATCACACATTTATATTCAAATGTATTCATATCTCATTTGAAAAATAAAGTTCTATAGCCAAATAGACATTAGGCATTTCGTAGTATCTTAAAGCTTAGAACACACTCCGATATTGACACAAATGCAAATACATAAGTATATTTTTCGTATTTCGGCAGTGCAAGTCACCTAACTGGAGTTTACATAATTCATATGCAAATATACAAACTTATATAATCTTTTCATGTATGACTGCGACTTGTTCACATTAACATTATTTAAAATAGTAAATTAGTTACTCTGCGAACTACACAATAATACTTTTTCCAAAATGTATGTTTGTTTTTTAAATTTATGTCTGTCTTTTAGACAAGTAATATAATATTTGCCCAAGATACGAGTATGTTGTTATTAGATCTTATTTTTACAACATTATGCAATTAATCAATGTAGGTTTGTACCACTTTAAAATGAGAATAGTATATCTAACAACAATAAATAGGTAATAAATAAATTGCACATTAAAGTCATTAATGAAAAGCCATCAATTGTCGTCACAAAATGAAGTTACCCGGATGGTGTAACGAATATAATAATATGTATATATGTTCTGATGAGGTCTTGTATTATTATGTAGCCCGACAATGATCAGCATTACCTTTATATTGACTAAGTCCGTTCCCACGTAAACTTTAGTACAAAACAAATTTAGAATTAGGTAATAATTAATAAAGTATGATGAACATGATAATTTACAAAATTGTTTGCATTTACGCAAAAGACAGGCTGACTTTGTTGTAATCACTAAATCATGCTTTTCGTCTAAGAAATAATGAGTTATTTAAGAAAATAAAAGAACTAAGATGAAATTTCAACATAAAGTTATACTAGGAATATGTACTTTTAAGTTCTAATAGGTTACCATTAGGGTACTCTGTACTCTATTCCTATTAGAAATCATTTATTTGCAAATACCAAACCCTTCACGATAGTTGACATTAAGCTCCGAATAATGTCGTGACGATAGGAATAGTCATCTCGATGCGCCATCTACAAATAGTTTACGTAATACTTTTTATAAGTTTTAATTTGCTTTAGTTTTATGTCTATATTTCTAATTACGCAAACTGTACTACAGGTGTACTACTGTACAACATGTAAAAAATTACACACAACGGTATTTGAAACACCCATATTTTGTTAATTGTCTTACAACCGAACACTTTGGCGATTGGTTTGGAATAAATTGCAAGATTAAATTTAAAATTAAAGGGTAAGAAGAACCGGCAATAGACGGTAAGGAATAGTGCTGATATGGATGTCGCATACCTATAACTTGAATTGACTGTTTATAATATGTCCGGGATAACGTTTATCATATGATGGGTCGGTACATTTGTTCGCAAAATTAATTCAATAGCCAAACAAAGGATATTTAATAATATTTTCAAGTGGATGTGAGGATGAAAATAAAGTAATGCACACGATCAGGTAGCAGCGAAAGTTCATTTTATCTTTTCACTCATTGTTTAACTTTTGTGAATTCCGTTTACACAATGAATGAACAATTAACTGTTTCAATTCTTAACGACCATATACGTGCTCACGGATCATACATCTTTCTAAAGAAGCGTTATAAATTGTATATATTTTAGTATACAATATGCTGATACAATACAATACTTTTGATTCATAGATTTAATCTCTCGTCATTGTAGTCGCCAACGACTGAACGTATAACGACTAATGTATGGTTATGGGTGACACTTTTTAACATATTACATATTGACTTAACCAACGAAACCAACGTTGTATGCCGTGGAAGTGGGTGAGAGGGGTATACCAGCTAAATACCTCTATAATCTATAAAAGACCTTGGATTGCCAAGAGCTTCAGTAAGATCTTTTCTTGAACAAATATTCAAAGCGGCATTACTAGGCTCGTATCAAATATGGTTAGGTAGAGGGGGTAACACAGGACACAGTGGAGGTGAGCGCTGACGCGTCGCAAGGAGTACACCACAAGTACAACCTATTCCTGGGTCGCAATTCCAAGACGCTGTCGAAGTCGCATGTGCTATCACGCGATGGACCCGCACAGTGAATCCATGGAGCTCTAAGAAATAGGTCTACCTACTTGTATCTACGTTTTCCTTCTAAAATTGATAAACATGATATATTTTCTAGATATACATTAGATTTCACATTTTAAGCTCAACTATAGTCGAGTACAAAAAACATTTAGCCTTGACCATGGCTTGATTTAATATAGATATTATTCTAGTATTACCCAAATAGCTAATGAAAGATACATAACGTATTCATTCAGCTGAAGTTTATTAACCCCATTTATAACAGTCATTGTAATGTCACAGTTATATTAAATTAAGCATGATTGAAGGCTTTAAAGTTTTTTAATATTAAAATTCATATCTTTATAGTTACATTTTAATGACATTCATATTATAGTGACTTATGTAAGAAAAAAAATCCAGACAAGTACGAGTCAGACTCGACCACGGAGGATTCCGTACAAATTAAAAATAGTTCAGGAATCGAGTCTAGTTATTTCCGAGCTTTGCTTGAAATTAGGTTTCCAATACCTATTATTACTTATATTGTTTTATAAGTGAAATCGTACTTCGATAATTAAATACGTACTTAAAATAAAATCCTAATTTTGTGATTGTTTTACGATTTACGATATATTACGATTACAAATGTAAAGTTTTCAGATTTCGCCCAGTATTTGTAGTATAAGACGATGTTGCTTGCCAAATTTCATAGTTCTAGGTCAACAAGAAGCACCCTTTAAATATTGATTCCCTTGAGAGTATAAATATGTTTTTTGCGGCATAAACGGCCGTATCTTTCTTTCACGTTAACTTAGGGGCTTGATTATTTTACAGCTTCAAGGGACTGTAGACCTGAGTATATAGTTTTAATTTTAACTTGATACCTTCACGCATTCCCTAAATAAAGGGTCTTGACAGATAGACAGACAGACGGACAACAAACTGATAATATAAGGGTTCCGTTTTTACTTTTGAGATACGAAACCCTAAAAACTTAAAACCCATTATTATTTGTATAGATTTTAAATTGAAGTTATTAGAATTATAGCATAATCCTGAAATTTAAAATAAAATGTATGTTTGTATAGGAACTAAATACACCAATCATTTAGAATTCAAACCTTTATAACAAATTTAAAACTGTATATTAAGTCTGATCTGTCAACTGTTATAAAAGTATTTTATTAAGTATTCATCCATAAAATTCATCTTTACCTATTGAGTTCTTTACATTACTACTATATTTCATGTTAAGCTTTCCCTTGTTATGAGCGCTATGAATGAATGTAAGTAACATAAACTGCTATTCTATTTTATCCTTTCAACGAGTAAGTTAAGAGGTATTTGTGCAAATAATAGGTTTATGAAGTATCGTCGAAGTTTCACCTTTATGGGATGTGTCGATAACAATCAAATATGCCCATGCATCTCGTTGCACAATTTTACGAATTATGTATGTATTGCGATTTCTGGGCGGATCACTGATATATTGCGATGCACATCAACCAGTTCGACCGGTCTAGGGCAGAAGGTTTACGATTCGATGAAGTCACGACGGCCGTGACACAGTTTACATTTAATAAATAATTCGACGACACTGTACTAAAGATAGACAGACCGACGGGACGGATCGTAAAAATTGGACTTTACTATCGATTTTAAAATAAATATTATAATACGCCTTAACAAGTTTAAGTGTTTACTTATACCATTTACCTATTTACCAAATATAAATTAATAATTTGCTTAATACAAATATTGCCTCATACGTATATAATTTAATTATATCTACACAATACTATTAAAGAACAGAAATGCTTTTGTTGAGCTGGATTTTGATTAATGATACTAAGTACATATCAACTTGCTATTAAAAAACAATCTCGCTTTTACACAACTTTAAAAGAAAAAACCGGCCAAGTGTGTTGGACCACGCGCAATATAGGGTACCGTAGATTTTAACTACCTGTTCTATTTTTACGAAATTTTACAAGTTAGTACATTTCATAAGTTTGGCAACTATTTCTTTTAAGCTAACAGTACTAATTGAGCCATGATAATTTTATTTTTAATTTTAAATAGTTTAGCTTAATTTTAGTTAAATATTAAATGTTAAATATTTTCTTAGCAGATAATTTAAACATAGTCTTAGCATGCACTTAATGTTCTCGAAAAATCTATCCAACCCTTTACCGAAACGTTTTTAGGGTTTAATTTGACCACTTTTTTGGTGTGTTTAAAATATATACTATATCCAGCTCTTTGTTAAGCCGTTTATGAACGCAATATAATGATTTCTAGTTAGGACTACGGAACGCTAAAGAAGCATATTATGCTTACACGATCAGTATATAAATAAATCGATAAATAATGGTGAATGTAATATTAAAGTTTGTTTCGTGGTTATAATACCTAGTTAAGATTACAAAAACATACACTAAAGTGTGAAGCTGACCGGAACAACTTTACCGAATTTATAGTTGGATAATCTGTAATGTTTTAAATGAGTTTTGACCTTGATGCGTTTGATGGTCATTAAAATATTTACACAAATATTTAAATGATTTCAATGGATCTATTATTCTCGTATTAATACAGTATGCAAGTGGGTAATCTGAACAACCAGTCCCAAGTACCTCAATATATACTAAAGCTTCAAAAGTACTAAATAAAATCTTAAAAATGTTTAGGTTGTTTAATTTACACTCCACAATTACAACTATTAGAAACAATATAAATTTGTCTTACAGTTTATACTTATTTCTAACTGTTTTATATAAACAACCTTAATTACTAATTGGTTTCGTTTGAAAAAATGATTTTAAAATTATATATACTGGAGCAACTATTATTATTATATACCAGTTGCACCAAAAACTTACTGTACAATTAGGTACTGAATTGAAAAAATACGTTGAGTAAATAATTTATGTTCGTGTTATCGATCACCAATGCGTCGAAGAACAATGCAAATTGGTATTTCTACATGACGAACACACAAAATCTTGGGAAATGCAATTGAGCTAGTATTGTTAAAGCCGATTATTATTCATTACAGTGGAAAAAAGTTTAGATGTTTTCTACTCTACTAGTTGCGGTAACACGTTGTAAAGAATCTTGTTTGTCAATATTTTAACATACTCATATTCTGTGGCTATACTATGACCAAAAGTTATTTTAATTTTAAAAGTTTAACGACTTTTACATACCCTTACTTACATCATTTAAGCGTTTCGGTAAGCTGTTAAACAATGCCGTCAGTAGCCCATAGGTGATGCAGTTTATTTATGTAAGGTGGAGATTGTGTTGTAAACTCTTACTTTTAACTTAAACAGTTTCTTTAGTGTCAATGTAGGTTTTCATGATTTGTAGTTTGTTACTTTCTTTTTAGATAAGTATTTACAAGGAATGGGTTTCTTTATTTATTTATTTATTTAATTCATACATGGAAAACTTACAGCTAGAAACATCAGTAAAAATGACACAATTAATCATCTGAGATCCAATTACCAGTATTCACTTCTAGTTACAAACTAACAACAGTTGCTGTAAGCAAATATATTAGGAAAACAAAAAACTATACAAGAAAAAAATCAACCAAATCACTCAGTACCTAAGCGACGAAAATCACAGCGACTGTGTAAGCGCTAGCACTATGTTACATTATATCTAATTGAAAAAATTAGGGCTTAGGCGCCTTCTTAACGAGGACACACTAATGACAAATGGTTCAACGTCACGCTGTTTAAAAATCATTAGATTGACAGCCCGTTTTTCGTCTCATAACTCTGATAAACTCTTGAAAATACAGCAACAATTACAACTTTCAAAAATTTAATGTAACAATGAAATCTAGCTCGTGCTATGAAGAGTCGCAAATTGTCTTAAACAAAACTCAAGCAAATATTGAGATTACTGTCACAAATTTCAAAGCACTAAAGATGAAAGACTAAGAGAGACTAATGGTACCTTGGTATAGTTGATGAATTTCAATGAATTCGTAACTGACTTGATGTTTAAATGACAAATTAATTGAAGAAGTAATTTACTCTCTTTGTTCCAATATTACTAATAAAAACAAAACAGTCCCGAACAATTTAATTAGCAGAGCCTATGATGAGGCAAGACACGGAAACACATCGCGCTGGGTTCACACGGCTGACCTCACGAACCGAAGATGCAACAACCTTACAATTAAAGTGTTATTCGTGAGCTGTAACTTAAGCTATTAACAATATATACTTATAAAACACAATAGTGTATTTTGATCAAATTTATTCCAATGCAAACACTCAAGTATTGATTGACTTAACAATGACGATTGATTTCATTTTTAGCATATCTCTCTCCATCTATTTGGAAACCTTCACACTATAATGGTCAAATGATTGCCATTTTATTATTTGTTTAGTTCAAGAACATTGTGTTAAGTAACTGCCGATGATCAATTACTTAAATAGCAGTTACATTGAATAAGTTGTCAATGATTTCTTTTAATACAATTCAAACGTCAATTACATAATAAGTAACACAACTATACCTATGTAGCAGGGATGTTAGGAAGCTCTATGAACTGAAACTGCCGGATATCCGAAATAAAAATTTATCGGAATTCAATTTTTTTGTTAATCCCTCAAATAAAATTACATATATGATTACCTATCTGTATTTCACAAGTACAATTTATTAACAATCTAATTTACGTAACTGAATTAAATTCTGAGACTAACGTATAATCTGAAATATGTTCTATTTCTAACCGTATCCGAAACCGATTTACTTATCTGCATTCAGAAATCAATGCCGGATCTACAATGAGACGGAGGATGGTTTAAAGTAGAGTAAAATTGAAAGGGCCACGGGGTGACGGTTAAAAATACCGAGAGACATCACCTCTCTTTACCCCGTGGGTGTTGTAAGAGCCGACTAAGGGAACAAACTCTTTAGAACAACAGCACTGCAAAGACAAGGAAAACTTAAAACAAACCTTATACCAACCAGTCTGCCCAGTGTGGTTTAGTAGGCCAAAACCTCCTTTATGGAGAGGCATATGTCCAGCAGTGGACTTCTTAAAGCTGTTGATGAAAGGGCCACGTTGCAACTGCGATCTTGTCAAGATATAAAAAGTAGAGCATCATTATACTATCAGTCGCCATTGCTTAAACGCTGTAAATATCGAGATAGACACTCCAAGAAGCCCATAAACTCCACAGGAGGCTTTAATGCGGTTGGATGAAGCTGGGCAATTCATTTTTAAAAACTTGATTATTAACTAACCGGCGAAATCTAAACGCATGATGGACCGAGTAAATGCGGAAATACATCTGATATTTTAAACAAATTCGAATTTCACAATATACTGTGCTACTAAAATAAAAAAGTTTCTACTTACATTGAATATTATTGAGCACTTTAAAGCATGTGGAAATCCTTCGACTGTGTAGTAACATTTAGTAGGTTATTGACGGAATACAATGTATGTATTTTATTAGACGCTAACAAAGAAGAAAAGCATTGCATAATACTTCAGTCCTGAACTTATACATGTAACCAGCACTTCGCACTATTGAGCTGTAAATATGCAAATCTGTACTTATGGTGACATTATTGGCGCATATTTTGAAAGAGTTACACACTACGTCATGCCAATCTCTTTTAAAACTGTACTTACTTTTTAAAGTTACGGCACATAAACTATTGCAAAGCGGCTTGTTAATTTATAGGACTATTTGGGACACATCGAAAAACTACTATACTGTAACTACTATATATAAAACTAAAACTAAAACGACTATACTACTAACTACATTACATTAAGAAAACAAATACAATATACACGCGTCAAGATTTAGTAAAATAGCAATGGTAACTAAAAACATCTTTATCAGGAGGTTAAAGGAAACCTTTTGACCGCCTATCATAACCAGATAATTACCGAATCAGATAGGCAGTATAAGGATGCAATACCCTATTACTTGAATAGGTACTTGAGCAACTGAACTATTATTTAAGATTTGTTCAGTTTTATATGCTGAGATTGATAATTCTGGGTCATAAAACGTTCTACCCGCTCACAACCATGTTAAAATAAGTAAATTAGTCGAATTAGAATAAATTGTTTCTTGTAAAACATACAAGTACTCCTTATATATTGGTTAACAAATAATCAGAATTATATAGACCGAAGTGTACGTTAAGCTTACATATTATTTCCTGTTTCAGGTCCCCATGAACCGGCTGTCATGCGCATAGCGGCACTGATTGCACTCGTGCAGGTAAGAATATTCATACCTACTCTACATAAAGTAGTTTTTTTATTGCCAAAATGCGTTTCCGTAAGGCAAACGCAATATAAGCACCAGTCAGTCCTGGCACAAGATGTCTTTTCGAGGGAAAAATTATAACAAAATTTTTGGGTAGAAAATGTCACCGTAATAGGCAGTAAAATAAAAATCTTAAAAAACACACATGTGTTGCGTAATCTAATCATATTATTGACACTAAAAGCATGGCATGTATCGTAACGCTATTAATAACCAAAGAGACTGTGCTGTTCGTTTCTATTGTCAAAACGAATGAAAAACTTTATAAAAGTACCATTACCATTACATTAATTGAACTTAAGTATTTTATAGTATAGCAGAAAGTATTTTATATGTTGGAGACGTGTCAATACCCACTTTCATATCCATCTTAGACCCTTTTCCTCGTAAAAATTGTCGTGATTGAAATAATTAACTTTTGTTGTAAATAACATAACGTAACCAATGTTAGAAACATTTTAATATCACTTAATAAACTTCTATCATTGATTGATGTCTTGTTACAAAACGAATATCTTTATGTTGAAGAGATCATATTGTTGACCAAGCAATAAAGCACAAATTTATTTAAGGTCATAACGCTGTACATTCACTCATCGAAATAATTTTGTAACATTTCCTTTTCCCTTATAGAGCTTTAATCTCTTCGCTATAATGCAATAGTGGCATATGAGGTAACGAAATTAATTATAAATGTGTAATAAATTATACTTAAATTGTTTTATTATGACTAATATTGTTTAGCACAATAAATAATTAATTTTTGTTGTATCATTGTGTCATAATCAAGTCCGTAAGATTATGGTTTTCAAATAATTTTTTACGGGTCTAGTACTCGTATTTAGCGATCCTGACTGCTAACCTCGATAGTCGTAGTTTCTATTCAAACCCGAGGCACATATTATGTGATACGCACGATCATATTAATTCTGTGTCTAGGTGTAATTTATCTATGTTATGTATCTATTTAGAAGTAAATAATAAAATTCATATTGCACTACCTTAAATAATTGCCAACCATTAATTAATTAATCAATGTAAATCGAGGTTTTGTAATACGAACTGTGTGATGTGACACAAAATTAAGTACGTGGGAGCAAATATGCATTGTCCGCTTACAAACAATAAATTGCTTACTGATTTTACGTTGATAGTTGTACCCCATCTTGCACACAGATCCTTGGTTATTCAACGCATACCGCACTGAAAGCTCTAAAGTTTAAGCTGGTTTCAGTTTCCACCATAGGTCAAAATGATATACATGAAGATATAAAATATAAAAATTATATGTAGTAAAACTTAGTACAATTTTTAGTGTAACTAGCTAGATTTTTATTTTTATTTGACAAATATTTTATTATTAAATAATGGACGATTGATTCATAGATTTTAATAATTATTGAATTTAAATACCTGTTAATTTTTAATAACTTTAAGAAAAGTTTTTACATACTTTGTTGTCCATTTTGACTTTTTTCTCTTGAAAACCACCTTCACCGTACACTGGTGTTGCAACCGTTTAAAGGTCTGGGTAAACGCTTACCATTAGGCATACCATGCTTAATGTCTAATCTGTTGCTCTGGTATAAGTGTCTAATAACACTAGCATAACACTAGTTAGAGTGTCTAATACATTCATATAATTTATGCTGAATAAAACGAACTGTATGTAGATATTGATTGATATCTGGTAATAATATTCGATGACCGCTTTCTTTCCTGAATAGTATGAAATTCGCTAAGTTAAGAGATACAAGAACTTTGTGACTAATTTTCTTTTCTAGAACTCGCCAATAATTATCATCATAAATTCCTATGTTTTAAAAACGATTTTAGTGCACATAGTCTGTTCGTTATAATTATCAATTAGTATTTTTTGGTTCATTGGGGCCTTCCATCTATTCTTCTTTCATTTTTATTTCATTTCATTCTATCCTTCCGTTTTTCTATAAAGAATAAAGCTGACTTGCAACGCTGGTTGCATTTTTCAGACATTAAGAGCGTGCGCATATAAACGTCTGCGCTTACGGTAGTTACCTTGTGTGTTGCGTGGCTGTTTATGACAGGCGCCGAAATCACCAACTAACACCGAAATAAGGAATAAATTGTACACTAACCAATCACTAAAGTTATAAAGTGCGTGTTTATTCACCTTATAAAGGAGTATGTACAAATAAAACCTTAATGATAAATACAGTGACTAAATAGGCTTGAGAATTCGTGTTATTAGAAATTAACAATTAATTAATTAATTATTATTATTTAATTAATTAATTATTAGTTAATTAGTGTGTATTACTAGAAAATCTAAAACTGAATAATAGTATGGCACGACAAATTCTAGACTAATATAACGAGGGCTGCTTTATGTATCCGGAACTGGCCAGTTCCAGAATAATATTAAAAAGGTAATTATAACATTTGAAAAGGAAACTCTTTGGCTGAAGAATACAATTTGTTTCATGTAGCTATCATTTGTTTCTCCTTTCTGGCTGATTTTGAAATTTGCGTGTCTGTATCACTATGGATTTAACTCGTGAAAATTTTTGTGCTATGATTTATCACGATTTTCAGCGAGGGCTAACTCAAAAACTGTGCATCGATCAACTCACTTCGGCTTTTGGGGACGTGGCACTGACAAAAACAACTGCGTATCACTGATTTAGTGGGTTTAATCGAGGACGGTCTGTGCTCACGGACGAATTTAAAGAAGGTCGTCGGTCGAAGGTCGAATCGGTTGTTGTACTTGTAAATATTGATGCTGTGCGGGAACTAATAATGCAAGTTGGTCATGTTACATATCGTGAGATAGAGATGTCTCTGGGAATAAGTATGACGAGTATATTTAAAATCGAACTTTCTGCTGTAATATAAAAATTGTTCACGTTGGATTACGCACAACTTGAGAATTAACCAAAAACGGGATTGGTGTAAAAAATGTTACAAAAGTATAAGCAGGGTGAGTCAAAAGCTGTCTATAATATCTACATAGGTGATAATACTGAAACTAAACAACAATCAACGGTTTGGGTGTTCCAAGATGAGCCGAACCAAACAAAAGTCATTCGTTCAAAAAGCATTTGGTCAAAGCAAATGGTCGCTTGTTTTTTTGGTATAAACGGACATGTAGCTACAGTGCCACTGGAGAATCGTGAAACGATTAATTCTGTATGGTACACGACTATTGGTTAGCCAGAAGTCTTTGAAGAAATAAGAAAGATTAACCGACAACGCAGAATCCTTCTTCATTATGACAATGCTAGCCGCCATACATCGGCCGAGACTTTTCATACGTTGCTTTGATTTTTTTTATACTGTTTGTAAAAACGGATTAAAAAAAAACATACCATTAAAAAGATATAAACATAAACGTAAAATAAGGTTATTAGGTCCTAGTACTTAATGCTTATGCACTAGGATCTAGTTTATAACACTTATATATACCTTGTAAGCATCGGACACGACATCATACACTAAATATATGTTAAATTCAAATAATGAAATTCGAACTTTTGCCGCTGCCGCAACGCACATCGTTCAAAATACACGTTTTGGATATATCACAATCAGAAAGGAAAAAGTGCTACGAAAATTGGTTCCAACGTATGCAAAAGTGCATTGATCATCACGGCGAATATTATGAACAGCAATAAAACTATAACAAATGCTATATGTTTGTTTTACTTTGTTATTCCGGATACATACATAGCAGCCCTCGTACGGTACTTGATCGGGAATATAAACTTATAAATACAATTATTTTCTATATGTAAGTGTACAAAATAAAATTATACTATTTTTTTTTCTCTGTAGCTGTCGCTCGCTACAGCTGTTTCAGATAACTCAATCCAAACATTAAGCGCGGTTGAACTAAACCGCGAATTAGCCGGCGACTATGGTCTTTCACCTTTCTATGAAAGCAGTGAAGAAACTGGGGTCACCTTTATGCGAGGCTCAAGAGCCGCTGAGTCACCCCTATCACCAGATATCGACGTGCAATGCTCTGGTGACTTTATTGATGTAACTGTGGAATTTTCCGATATTTATGATGGTATCATATACAGCAAGGGTTTTCTAAATGATCCTAAATGCAAGTGAGTATAAATGTTTTGGATTTATTTGCAAACATTTTTGGATGATTGATGAAGGCCAATTCTCGTAATAAAAGTTCGGTCTCAATTGAGTTCCGATCAACTTTCGTTCTCACATCTTGTCATAAAAGGTATTTTCGTAGTAAAATAGTAAAGTATTACTCAGACTCGGTTACAATACGATATAATCACATTGCAGGTAACGGTGGATGTTTAATACTTTACTACGAAAATACCTTTTATGACAGTTGTGAGATCGAAAGTTGATCGTAACTGAATTAAGACCGAACTTTTATTACGAGACTTGGCCTTCTGATATCAACTGTCAATTTTGGTAATGTTGAAATTGTGATCATGAGATCATATTTATTATCGATTATTATATTTTATGTTTATACAGTTTTTTATTGAGTCAGTAACTCAATAAATCGTGAATCATGGTGTCTAGGTCGTTACTATTAATTTTAACGTTATATTTATAATGTTGTTAGTTAAAATTTCTGTTCAAAATTCACCTTTAAGATTAATGAGAAAATCAAAACACGTATACTTAAAACATATAGGTACGTATTTTACGCTCTTTTATTGTTGCGCTGACTAACGTTAGTGCGTTTTGTTTAAATCTATTGATTACAATAAGCAACGCCACTATCCTTTTTTTTTAAAAAAGTAAAAATTTAATAATAAAATTTG